AGAGAAAGAGAGAGAGAGAAAGAAAGAAAGAAAGAAAGAGAAAGAAAGAAAGAAAAAAGAAAGAAAGAAAGAGAAAGAAAGAAAAAAGAAAGAAAGAAAGAAAGAAAGGAAAGAAAGAAAGAAAGAAAGAAAGAAAGAGAAAGAAAGAAAGAAAGAAAGAAAGAAAGAAAGAAAGAAAGAAAGAAAGAAAGAAAGAAAGAAAGAAATGCATACATCTTCCAGGTGTGGTGGCACATGCCTCTCATCGCAGCATGTGGGAGGTTGAGGCAGGAGGATCACTGGCTTGTGCCCAGCCTGAGCTACACAACTAGTTTGAAGTCATAGTGAGAACTACATAGTGAGATCCTGTCTCAAATACCAAAAGCAAACAAGCAAAAATCATACCTCCTTGACAGCAGTAGACTTTTTGAGACATACTATACTGTCTAGGAAAGAAATTTTGACCAAAAGATGAGGAGGTACTAAAAGAGAATATTTGAATATTAAATCAGAATATTTCAGAAAGTGATGGAGTCTTGGGCCCAAGAAATTTATGTGAGAATAGAAGCTGGTCACATCCAAATCATATTTATCCTGCCAGATAGAGTCACAGGGTCAGATTGGAGGAAAACAAAAATAAACCTAGGTGGGCTTGGGGAGGCAGGCAGAATAGCACAGACATTCAGTCTGGCAAAGACTCTTCAGGTTCCTGGTTCAAATCCCACTCTACCATTTCACTGGCTTCATGAAGTTGGCCATGTTACTTAACTTCTCTGTACTTCCATTTATTCATGGATAATGACAGCATCTCTTCATAGGCTTGTTGTGAAGATTAAATGCATTTATAAACATGGAAAAAATTCAATACCTGCCTGGCACAAAATAAACACTGCTATTGCTAAGCTGACTGGGGCACTTTTCTCCTTTGCCTGCTCAGGAGCAGCTGGTCTGGAGCTAACCAAGCCTTTGTGTCTTTGTCCCGGCAGCCGAATGCACTGTGATGGGGATCCCCAGCGTGACCACGAACCTCTCTGGCTTTGGTTGTTTCATGCAGGAACACGTGGCTGATCCAACAGCTTATGGTGAGGTTTTCATCATCTATCTAATCCCAGAGCCTAATTCCAAAGCTGTCCTCATAAGTGAATGAATCTTTGTATTTATTCTATTAAAAGTAGATTCAGTTACATGGTCCATAGATAAGAATGCTGTGAATGTTAAAGACATTGCTCAAAAGACAGACCTGGACAAACTTTAGCCTTGACCTATTTTTTTTTTCCAGTGGAGTTGAGTTTTTTCCTGAGGTTTGGTTGACTTTCTGTTGTAGAAGTGCTATTATAATTACCATGGGCTTAGAGTACACATATCTTTCATTATATTTAAGACAAATACATTATTAAATATTTAAATATATAATGTGTAATGTAGGTATAAACTATGTGTATAATATATAATGCCTTTATAGATACACACATTATTAATTACTTTATTATTCATGCCAGCTAGGAAATTTCACTTAAATTGTTTAAAGATGACAAGAAAATTTGCATATCACTGTCTATCTGTCCATGTTTCCTAGCAGCAGGAAAAGTTAGGATAGGGTGGATTCCATATCTATGTGCTGCCACTTCCTTTACAGTTATCCTGTTGCTGTCCTATGTCCTCAGGTAAGAGTGTGGCTGTATGATGGGAAGGAGGAGGCTACAAAGCAGTAACCCCAGGTTCCTTCCCCAGGAGATCCTGGTTTATGAGCCATCACTGGAGAATCTCTGATGCAGCTTCTCCCTAGATGTCCAGGCTTCTTAGTTTCTTAGTAAGATCCACTTTGTTGGCTGCCTGTGATGGTTAAGCCATTAGAAGACCATAGAAGATACAAAGCCTATCTGTAGCTAAGTCAGGGAGCAGATGGTGTGCATGCTCTTTAACAGAGCCAAATATATAACAAAGAATAGGAGAATTATTTTAAGATGACCCCTATTTGGACCAGTGCTTTGGCTTTTGTGCTTTTTAGGTATTTACATTGTTGATAGGCGGTTCCGCTCTCCAGATGACTCTTGCAATCAGCTGACTCAGTTTCTCTACGGATTTTGCAAACAATCACGCCGCCAGAGAATCATCCAGAGGAACCGGACTGAGAGGCTCTCAGATCTTCTAGACTGGAGATACTTGGGCAGAGTAAGCAAGTTTTGGGTAAACACAGAGGAATCACTTTAAAGACCACTAAAATGGATTCTAGTCATGATCTGTAGAGACAGCTCAACACCATGATTGTTCAAATCTTGGTAATGTTTGTATGTACTTTTTAATTTAATATGAGTTTTCAAAGATGCAAATTCAACTCTTAGCTTTGAGTTTGAGTCCATCAGTAGCAGAAAGTCTGCCAGGATCTAGCACTAATCTGCCTAGTTACTCTATTCAGTGCTTAACATGCAGCTACACAGGAACATTTCCTGAAGCCAGGAACAATATCAAGACAACCCAAGGGATGAAAAAGGACCTTCTTTATTAACATCCTTGTTCAAGAGAATCAATGGGGTCATAGTCCCTAACTACAGCAATGGTGGAAAGTGATACTGTTTTTCAAAATGACAAGAATTGAAAATACCTCCAGTAGATTATGCAGTAGGCATATGAACACCCAGATGTTCACATGCCTTAGAAATAAATGATTTAATATTAAATACATTGACTTTGCCTTCAGGTCATCCATTTCCATGTTGCCAAGCCCTCCTAGCCAAATAACAGATGCTTCTATTGGCTGAATACCTACGCACAGTGATGCCAGTGCTTGGTATACACTGGATGGTCAATTTTACTGCCTCCGTTGAAGAATGAAAAGAGAAAGGCAAAGCTATTGGGAGTTAGCTTCTTACTAGAGGTCTGAAGCAGGATTTAGATCCACTCTGCCTGCCTATCCAGGCCCCATCTCTTTCCTACATTGCACTGTTTCTCTGTGGATTTATACAGTGTTTTCAGAGCTTCAGTACACAATTCAGAGCTCAGGCTGGCCAGTATTTGTGCTCTGATCCAGCACTTCTGTAGTTTTGTGTATGTTTTTAAAAACAAGAAAACTATAGGTTATTGTGTTTTTCCTAATTCTCAAACTTAGGGGGAAGAAATTCTGATATGTATTTCTAATGTTTATGTGTATTTTGATGCCATACGTACATGCACCAAAATATTAGATGGTACATTTTTAATATATGTAACTTAAGTTTTTATGTATTAGCTAAAAGAAACATCAGACTAAGGAAAATGAGACTTATATATGCACTAGGCTTTGAAATCTCCAAGCACTTTCTCTGCTTTAACATGTGGACTGTCCTTCTGTCACAGTATTACCAGCATGCCAGGCACCTGACTTTAAGCAGAGCTTTTCCAGATAATTTCCATGTGGAACCCATGTCCCTCCCAAAGGTAAATATTAAGTGTATTGTTTGTTTTGAAAGCTAAATTTTTTTGTTTGTGACACTCTCTAACACAACTTTTAAATCTGAAGGTAGTTAAATGCACAGAATATACTTCTTCAGGGTATGTTGAATGAAAGCAAAGAACAATGACACCCACAGATCTGACTATCTCAAAGTCCCTGACTCCACTGCCCCCACGTCTGGTAGAAGGATGCTGGTGTGGCCTCTCTATATGAAAATTCTACCTAAAGGGTCAAAGTGTTCCATTCTGCTGAGGGTTGCTCAAGAATAAACTGGGCCATTTTAACAGGAAGTACATTTTCTATCCATGGGTTTGTGTTAAACATAGGATGACCATGTAGCAATGATAAAATAAATTCAAGGGCTGGCGAGATAGCTCAGTGGACTAAGTGCCTGCTTCGGCAAGTGCAGGGACCAGGGTTTGATCCCCAGTCCCGCACATCGCCCTGGCCCTGCCCCCAGCACGCCCTTAGCCAGGGACTGAGTCCAGGCATGGTGATGCATGCCTGTAATCCCAGCTGATTACAGGGGAAGGCTGAAAACAGGAGGATCACCATGAGTCTGAGCTGCATACTGAGACACTGTACCAGATACATAAATGGAAAAAAAAAAGAATAAAATAAATTCAAGCTTCACAGGAGGAAATAGATCAGATGAGCATTTATGCATCACGGAGGAGTGACTTCTGGGGAGGCTTCTTCTAAATTCAGATGAGGCCACCATAGGTCACATCTGCTATCAGATTCACTTAGAAGGGAAGAAGCCAGGAAATGTAACTTGAAGCAGGCAGTATCAGCCCTTTCCCCCTAGTGAGATCAGTCCCTGCAGAAGTCTATAGGATACAAGAACCAAACTTGTTTGGCTTCCTGTGTACAAGGCAACATCATAGGTGCAAAGATACGTGACTTATGCTGTTGGCATAGTGCAGCGGCGCATGCCTGAATTACCATCTACTCAGGAGGCAAAGCTGAGAAGCCCATCCAAGCCTACAAGTTCCAGAGCAGCCTGCTCAACAAAGAGAGAGAATCCATTTCAAAAAATAATCAGCCAAGGCAGGTGAGATAGCTCAGTGGACTGAAGTGCCTGCTTAGGCAAGCTTAGGCAAGCACGGGGACCTCGGTTTGATTCATAGGCACATGCTGTGCTAGCTCCACCCTCAGGGCAGGCAAGCTGGCTAGTCTAGGCATAGTGGCATACTCCTGTAATCCCAGCACTTGGGAGGCTGAAGGCAAGAGGATCACTATGAGTCAGAGCTATGTAGTGAGGCCTTGCAATAATGAAATACATTAAGCCATTAATAATAATAATAATAATAATAATAATAATAATCAGCCAAAGATCCACTTTAGCTCAGTAGCTCTGTGCTCTGCATGAGTTGATGTCACATCCATCTCCAAAAGTAGGCTGTCACAATGCCCCAAAGGAAAACACCCAATTCTGAGTCATCCTAGAGAATGCCCAAAATGATTGATCCCTAGTAAGTATTTGTGAGTCTTTCAAGTGCATACATAATCTGATCGAAGGTCTCAACCAGGAGTTACTTTCACCATGAATGATTCTACCTATTCATAATCTATATTCTACATATATTAGGTTTTATACCAGGGATCAAACTCAGGACCTTGTGCTTGCCAGGCAGGTGCTAATGTCACTGGGCCATCTCGCCAGCCTTCTACATATATTAGGTATCCAGAGGAAGCAATAAAAAATCTGAGCCATAAACAAGGCAAAGAAAGTTTTCTTAATTGTTCCATCTACAAATCCCAACTCCTATGCTTATGCTCCTAGTACTCAGAGAATTGATTGCTTTGTTGGTTTCTTTTTGGTGTTTTTGAGACAGGGTCTCGCTATGCAGTTCAGGCTGAACTTGAGCTCACTTTGTAGTCCAAGGCTGGTCTTGAACTCACAAGAATTTTCCTGCCTCAGCCTCCTGAGTGCTGGGATTACGGACATGCACCACCTTGCCCAGCTGATTGCTTTACTAAGGCAGGCACTCCTCCTGATAGTGCATACACATCCATTATTCAAATGATGTATTATTTCAAATAAAGGCAGATTCAACCTAAAAATGATGGTTCATGATAGTAATGTATGAACGTGGTTGCAATACAGAATGGCAAATGCTGTAACACTTTAACACATTTATCTTCCAGTTTTGGCATATGTACTCCCAGCACGCAGGGCAGGGACCATGTTTTCCAATTTGTTTCCTTGGTGACATTGCAGAATGTAGTTATAAATGAGTATTTTCAGTGACTCTTAGGTAGCAAGCAATTTGATTAAAAGCTAGGGATAGCTGTCCTTTAACCAAAAGGACAGCAAATGGTGGAATTTTTGGATCAACTAAACAGCATGGCTTCCAGAATTCGGTATTGGCTATTCCGGGACATCCAATCGCCCATGCCTTGCAGCTGTCCTAAGCTGATCTAAAGGACCACCCAGGTGTGTCCCACCTGTGGCTCTTGAATTGCAGATGGCTCTGGATAGCTAATGCCACAAGACTGTTAACTATTAATATGATTATGTGATTTTTATCAATATATTTCCTAAATTAATTGGATGGTGCTTAAATGCAAACTATGTAGATGACAATGGAACAGAGTGTAGGGGGTGGCACATAACAGCTATATCGTGTATTACCCGTGCTGTCTGAGACAATTCCTCTTCACCCAGAAGGGACCACAGAAAGTGACACGGTAACAGCATTCGCACTGTACGTGTAAGTTCGTATTAAAGGCTCTGGAGCCATCACCAACCCGTTGTACATCGTCACTCTGTGCCGTGTGACCAGGCAAATCATTTGGCTTCTCTACCTTTTAAATTTTTTTGTCAATGGGAAAAATACACTCACTGAGATGTTGTTAAGCAGATAAAGGGGATGACACGTGTATGGCACCAGGCACATTTCAAGGCTTGATAGAAGATAATTGTGTATTTAATGAATCTCTCTTAAAGTTGGTGATACCAGAGCCAAAATGAATCAGAGTTTAATAGCATCTGAATAGATCACAAAACATATCTAAATATTTTTTTAAAGAATACATGTACACGTATAGTGCTTATATAATTGAAAACCAAGGAGCCGTAATGTCACTGTCTCATTTTTGTCTCCTACAGACAGACGGATTCAAGTACCCCAGGCCTTCCTCAGTACCGCCCTCTCCATCCGGGTCTCAGGCCTCCAGTCCTCAGAGCAGTGACGTGGAAGATGAAAACGAGGATGAGCGGTACGACGAGGAAGAGGAGGCTGAAAGGGATCGGCTGAATATTAAGTCACCCTTTTCTCTGAGCCACCTTCCTCACGGGAAGAAAAAGCTGCACGGTGAATACAAGAACTGAATCCCATCCTTGCTGAGGAGAGCTGGTCAGGGCACAGCCAGAGTAATTATTTAAAAGAATGAACATGCTACATTTTGTTTGATTTTTCTTTCTTAGTAGTGGAAGTAATTCTCTGCCTAGAAAGTCATGAGTGAGTGAATGCCAGTTTTTCAATTTAGACTAAAATCCAAGTTGTTAATTCCTCTTGTTTTCTCTGTAAATTTAGGTTGGAGAAATGTTGAATGAACAATCCTGAAAGTAAGTTTTCAAAACTTGTTAATGGGGCAAGGGAGATAGCTCAGAAGAATAAACACTTGCCTGGCAAGCACTGGGTCCTGAGTTCAATCTCCAGTTAAAAAATCAAACAAACAAACAAACAAACAAACAAAAAACCTTTCTTAATGTAAGCCATACCAATATTCCTTTACCAGTAGTTCCCACCCCCCTTCAGTTCTGAGAATGCAATCCATGGCCCTCATAGTGAGCTACATCTCTCAGCATTTTTAATGGTGTTTTTTTGTTTTTGTTTTTGTTTTTTTCTTGAAACAGGGTCTTATTAGTTTGACTTGAAGTTGCCTAGCCTGGCTTTGAATTCGTAATTTTTGTGCTTTAATCTCCCAGATTGCTAGGATTACAGATGTGTATGTGCCTTAAGGGCCAGCCTAGGGTTTACTTTTTAATTTGTCATCATTGTACTCCTGTGTTTAGTATTTATACAACTTCTGCACCCAACCATGCAAATCTCCAATTAGGTTCACAGAGATCCTCATCTTAGCTAAGAATGTATGCTATTTACATATTCTGAATAACTCTTACTGATTATTTTTCATTTTATCAAACATTAAAACCATAAATTTATATTTAGCTTTGCTGAGAATTATCAAAACCCATACTAAAAGAGCTATCCTAGATCTATATTTTGATGCAGTTATATGAAACTGAAATCTAGAGTTTATGTTTAAATCAATGATAGAAACATGTTGCCACCCGATAGCACATCAAGGTACCACACCATTTTTCTAAGATTTAAATGGAAAGCTTCGTCTAGCATAGTGGTGCATGCCTGTAATCCCAGCCAGCACTCAGGAGGTTGAGGCAGGAGGATTGCTGTGAGTTTGAGGCCAGCCTGAGCTGCATAGTAAAACCCTGTCTCAAAAAAGACAAAAAGCAATTAGCTAGAAAGCTCTTTTGAAAATTTGTCCAATCCCCATCACTGATAATTTGTTAAGTTCAAAGAAGTATCAGTATTTAAAGCTTTAAGTTTTATTCATAATGTCTTGTTTAAGAATCTTTTAAGGGGCTGGGGAGATGGCTCAGTGGAATAAGTGCTTCCCTGGCAAACGCAAGGGCCTGAGTTCAATCCCCGACTCCGCCAAAAAAAGAGAGAAGCTTTTAGACATCAAAACAACATGTAAAACCTCGGTCATGGATAATGCTCAATATAACATTCAAAACTATCTTTTATAAAAAGTAGCAAAACATTGAATCTGCTTAATTATGAGAAGAACAATGTCTCCAACATATTCCTGGATTGCTTAGATATATTGAATAATTAATTACACTTAAAATGGTTTATGTTTTAACTCTAAATTGGCAAAAAAAAAAAAGTGAAAACAGTACATTCACTCTTGGATTTTTCTGTCTCTGTCTCTCTGTCTCTGTTTCTGTGTCTCTCTCTCTGTCTCTCTCTATTTGTCTTTCTATCTCTCTGTCTGTGTCTGTCTGTTTCTGTGTCTCTCTGTGTCTCTGTCTCTCTTTCTGTCTTTCTGTCTGTCTGCCTGTCTTGTCTGTCTGTCTGTCTGTCTGTCTGTCTCTCCTGCACCCCCGTTTTAATAACTGAGTAGCCATTTACTGTGGGAGGTGTGAGTTTCATCTCATGCAGTGTGAAGAACTCCACTGACATATTGGTTGACTTTCACTTAGAAGCTCAAAAATGTGCTGGTCCTGTCCTGCCCAGTTATTGATGGTAACAACGGAAGAGTGATAAAGACAAGTCTCATGGTTGAAGGCCAATGAGATAAAGACATGTCTCATGGTTGAAGGCTAATGAAAAACTGTAAGCCACCATTTCCCATTTCCCCTCAGGCCAGGTAAAAGTGAAATAATGGGCATAAGCAGCAAATGAAGGCAAAACAGAAGATGACTGCAAATTCACTCTGTTTAGACGTTCAAGAAGAACAAAAATTGCCTACAGCTCGATTCTTGAAAACTGCTCTGCAAATGCCAGTTAGCCTCAGATCTGCAAAGATGTTTGAAAAACTGCACTAAAGAGCAGAACAAATATGATGCAGGTTTCTGGTGTAGACAAATTTGTTAAATTCCCAGAAAATTTTCATGATGGTGAGGGTGTTTCACTGTTACAGCAATCATGCAAATGTATCCATAGTCAAATACCACTGTGTGAATGTTCAAGAGTACTCTCGACTGGAAATTGGTTTACTGTTATTGAAAGCATGAAGTACTTGCACAGTAAAATTTCTCAGTATAGGACCTTAAAGATAAATGTTTTTTGTTCAATGGGGTCATAGGCCTATGACTAGAAATGCATGAAATATAAATAACTAGAGAAATTACTTAAGTTGAAACCATCTGGCTTTGAGTGTTAGACGTGGAGATGAGAATTTTGCCCTACACTAGGCTTTCTATGAGGACAGGCTTTCTATGCTGCCACTTGATTCTATCTCAGGTATTTGTTTGTATTTCCTCAGAGATCAACAAAACCTGTGGGCAAAGCAAATGCCAGTGTGAGTAGAGGACCTTGTGTCTAATAGGATGACCTTGTGTCTAATAGGATGACCTTGTGTGCAATAGGATAACCTTGTGTGCATAGGAGTTGCATAAATAAATGGTTTTGTTGGAAGAAATAAAGGAATAAAAAATTAATGTTTTTGAAGAATGCAAGTATAGAAAGTAGCATATCATATATCATCAGATGACAGTCGGACTTTTTAAAGTGGATCGCGCCACCTGCTAAGGTCTGAATGTTGAGTCCCCCAATATTCGTATGTTGAAATCCTAATCCCTAACGTGATATTAATGAGTAGTGGCTTTGGGGAGGGATCAGGCCATGAGAGCAGAGCCCTCATGAATGAGATTAGTCCCGTATAAGTCCTCAGCTGAGGTGGTGGGGGTGTAGCTCAGAGCCAAGGTGCAGGTTAAGTATGGATAAGGCCTTCTTTTCAACCTTGACCAGTGAAAAAGGAAAGAGAAAAAATGTAAAAGACATCAGAAAGCTACCTGGCAGGTCCTCGCGATATCAGTTCTGCCAGCATCTTGATATTGGACTTCCAAACCAGCAGAACTGTGAGAAATACGTTTGCTGTCTGTAAACTACCCAGTTTATGGCATTTTGCTTTTGCAGGCCAAGCTAATCAAAATAGTACTGTACCTTTGTGGCAGGAGTACTGGTGAATGGAGCTGACTGGTGTAAACAGATGTATCACGGTGTTTCAGTGCTGTGTTGCTAGTTCTCCAGGTTAGGAGAGAGACTGTAATAGGGCTTGGTTAAATCTACTTGAAGAAGTCCAAAGGGCTCCATAGGACCAGCCCAAATCTCTATGAAGTAATGTAGGGATAGCACTGCCTGTTTCACAGGGTGGCAGTGAAGATCAAATCAAATTAGGACTGAACTTACACCGGAAGTAATAAAGCTGCATTCCCAACCTCCCTTTCTCCTCAGGCCAAGACAAATAATGTACCTCAAGGTGGCTAGGATGTGTATTTTTATTTCTCATAACCAGGCAAAGAATAAATGTAGGTTGAAGATGGCCTTGAGCAAGCCAGAACCTCCTTGCCTTTCCCCTCTCTTTTCTCAGAACAGCACAGGTGGTGTGGTAGAGAGAGGAGGCATCCACAGGCAAACCCAGGAATCAATAATTGAGAGCCCAGGCTGGAAGGAGGACATACAGACAGAGGGGAAGGGCAACTGCATCGTGTAGAAAGCGGCTAAAAGTCCACTCTGGACATGGGATGTTCTACTATGCATCTATGTGTTGAAGGCAGTAATTTTCCAATTTAAGGTACAAGCTATATGATGTGAACATTTTTCAATTGATGACCCCTTGCTTGTTCCTGATTTTAAATAGATAGAAATAAAGAGAATTGTAAAAACAAAACAAAACAAAACACCCTTCTGTAGTTTGTTCCATCAGAAACTCATGCTGAAACTTGTCCTTACCATGGTGGTGGGGGGAGGGTCATGGGAGGTGATGCCAGGGCTGGGGGTGTCCTTTAGTAGTAGAGCTCATGTTTAGGATGCACAAAATCCTGGGTTTAACCCCACACCAAAAAAAAAAAAGGGAGTATGATTCAGTTGGTAAAAGTGACTAATACAGTTCTCTGAGGATGCCAGAGGCTGGATTGGCTAACAAGAGAACAGGCTGTGGGGCCGGTGAGATAGCTCTGGTATCTAAAGTGCCTGCTTAGGCATGCTTAGGCAGGTGCAGGGAACCCCCGGCACTACATGCCATGCTAGCCCCACCCTCAGGGCGGGCTGAGCTGGTCAAAGGGCGAGGCGAGAACATGCTCTTTATATCATGAGTGTCCTTCCCATGGGCCCTTTTGTTCACTCTTGCTTTCCTGTCCATGCTGTGCAGTAGCAAGAGGCCCTCCCCGGAAGTGAAGATGATGCCAGAACCATCTTCTTAGGCCTCCTAAGCTCCAGATTCCTGAGCCAAATAAAACTCTTTCCTTTACAAATGACTCAGTCTTAGGTTCTCAGCAAAAAATGGAGTGAGACAAACCATGTGAATCTGACATTGGACACAGATGTGATGAATCAGCACATTTATAAGGCAAAACATTGAAAGAATTTGAGTATTTACATAACTTGGAGAAGTATCAATAGGGACTGGTCTTTTAGACAGCTTTTGAATACCTTACTATAAGGTCCTTGAGATTGTTCTGGTTGTGGGAGAAATTATGTCATAACGTAGATGCTTAAAATATTCTTTGAATAAGCACTTATGTAGTGATATATACCAGTTTAGGTCCAAAGAATAAATTCTCAATGAATTGAATGTATGCGCTGTGTAGAAAAGTCTACTCTAACATTAAATCATAATTAATGACAGATGCCTATTATAATACTATGTAGTTTTTTAATTGCTTGTATAATTTTGGCAGAGATAAGTATTACATTAACTTGAGTAAGGTTTCATTATTCAATTATTAAACAAGATGCAGACAATGTTATAAGCATGGTTTTGATTACTTAACAGTGAAATCATCATTTCCAATTACAGATACATTAATATAAGATAGTCATTGGCTACTAAATAATGACTACATACTGATGACAACATTAATTAACAATGCTTTCCACTTAAGAGATTTATTGAGAACAACTCTGAATTGTTGACGTGAAGAAAATGTGATGATCTGATAAATTGCTATGATTTCTGTGTGTGTGCGTGCATGCGTGTGTGTGTGTGTGTGTGTGTGTGTGTGTGTGTGTGTGTGTATTGAGATGATACTGAGTCCAGGCTCACTATTAAAAGAGACAAATTATCTGTGTCATGTGTTCTATGTTATTGGGGTAAGTGAAATGTAATTTTATAATGTTGAATCCTAGAAGTTTAGCCAATTAGGGAGAGCAGTGTTGGACTCCTTTGAGTTTGTTTAGCAATGAAAAATGGCTTTTTTCTTTAAAAGATGGGTTCATTCCTTTTGCACAGTATACACATGAGCAGAGTGCCTCTTCCCAAGGAGATGGAATTCCATATTTCTTAGCTGAACTTGAGATATCTTCAGAGGAGCCTTTTTCTTTTTGTGGTTTGTCTCAGTTACTTTTCTCTCATTGCTGGGACAAATACCCAACACCCAAAATGAAGGAAGGAAAGGTTTATTTAGCTCACAGTTACTGCAGGTTTTAGTCCGTATTCAGCTGGGTCCAAGGCAGAGCAGCACATAGCACAGAGCAACCTTTCATGGTGGTGGCAGAGAGCAGGAGAGCAAAGGGAGGGGCAGCAGCAGCTCAAGCAGCTAGCTTCTCTTCCCTCCTTACGCTGTAATGCAAATTACCTGCCCCAAGGCAGGTGCAGCATCCACACCCACAGTAATCAATCACAAACTCCAGAAGCTGCCCCAAGACTGCATTGGGCTTTGGGGGGGACACCTAGACACAAACCATGACATGGCTCTACAGGCAACCTTCTCCTGTCTCCAGCCTCACCAGCCTTCTCTCGGCAATCACACTGAGCTTTCACGGACGCTTCTTCCCAGCCATGTGACTTCCCTCCTTAACAATTTATCTCCCTGGGTGAACTACAGAAAGCCACCTTCTTTCCCATCTTGCCATGTACCCCCCTCATTGGGAAAGGAGCAAAAGGAGAAATAGAAAAAGAAGCATTGCTGAGTAATAATAAAATACAAATAGGTAAAGGAATAAAAAAAAAAAACCAAGCACTATGATTGAGACGAGTACTGGTCATGGCAGACAGAAAGAATACTGTACTGTCTTCAGCTTTATCATTAGAAATACTGTAAACACCAAGAGCTAGACAGAAGGTGATCTACGCTGGACCTGAAGCAATAAAAGAAGGCAAGAATTCTACGTTTCTTTTGCTTCCAGAAGAATCAAATGAGTGATGCGTGTTTCCAGGATTACACCTGGAGTACAAAGGGTTCAGTTATTTTATTCACATGGTTTATATTATCAACAAGAATAGATCTGCATTTGAACATAATCTGGTATATTTTCACCAGCTAAGCAGACTGTCTTCCAGGAATCTGCTTGGATCAAATTTTTCTTCTCCATCTGTAAGAAAAACAAAAATACTTAACACACATTCTGTGTTTGAAAAGGTGAAAAGATGAAGAGGATCTCTAGAAACACACATTTAGCCTTCTCAGTTGAATTATCTTGTAGGCTCTGTTACTGAAAATTTAAAAATAAAACCAGCTTCTGATTTGTTTTGTTTTTATGTTTCTCCCCTCAGCTTGGGACATACTGAGATTTTTTTTTCTTTCTTTTCTCTGTTGTTGTTTTTTGTTTGTTTGTCTTTTTGAGACAGGGTCTCACTATGTGTTTCAGGATTGCCTTGAGCTCACTTTGTAGCCCAGGGTGGTCTCAAACTCACAATAATCTTCCTGTCTCAGCTTCATGGGCTTAAAAGCATGTGCCACCATGTGTGGCATGTTCAGAAATTTACATTTTACATATGAATCTGTATAGTTATTGAAACTATAACATGATAGATTTGGGAAATATTTGAGGGCCATATGGCTTGCTCTGGTCAATATATCTCATGTCTAAAACACCTGCCATTACAATCACTCACTTGTGTCAAAATACTTTCTATATATTTCCTCATAAAGTGCATCTTACTTGAGAAAGCTGGAGTAGGAACACATATGAATATATTCCTATATTAGGTGTCTCTGGCCAGACCACCCTAAGTGAGCTCAGTGTCACCTGCAACTATTACTGTATTAGGTGATTTCTTCAGGGAATCAATGAGAAACAAATAGGAACATTTGCTAGTTAGCTAGAAATGCAAAACTTCATAGCATGGGATATCACATCTGGGGCAGGATACTTAAGAAGGCAGACAGTAGCAGGTTCTTGTGACTAAAAATAGGGCGAAAGAGAATCAACCTGTAAGGGGGTAGGGAGTCGTAGCTGGAATCAAATCTGTCTCCTAATTTTCTCTGAGATCACCTTTAGTTAAAACTACATTTCCTCTTTTAGTTATAATATAATCTGGATGTCTGAGCTATATCTAATCTGCCTTGCTGGTACATTTTGAAATGTTGCAAGTAATGCGATGTTATTTTAAAATGAAAAAAAAAAAAAAAAGTCACACCCAACCCGAAAGTTAAACCAGTTTACATTTCACTGAACTAAAAATTCACCCCAGAAAAGAACTTTGGCATAAAAATACTACAGAAAAATAACAATCAATATATCACACAGGAATGCAAAATTTCCCATCAATTTAGGCTGATGACATTATGATTCTTCTCTTCCTCTTCAGTGACAAACCACTGGGAAAACGTCATTAGTTAGAAAACTGCATAAGAAGTAAAGCCATGCTGTTATGTGGAGCTGTAGGGGACTCAGATCAACAGTTTCTGACATTGCCAGTGAAGCAGAAGACCCAATACTATTATGGGCTACTGGACTCTTTTAGAATATTTTGCTGAGTTAACACACCTATAATATTCAAATAACGGAACTTAACAAAAATAAAAAGGGGGATACAGATGAATGTCCATTTTGTATCTGTGTATTCAAAGTGGTTAGGATAGATATATAGTTATATTCTCTTAATGAATAGAGGGATTTGTTCTAATGGTTTTTGCAAATAGGATATCAAGTCCGCATCTTGTACAGCAATTAACCACTAGGAAGAATGTATGCAATGTGTTAATCATTGAAACTGTCCTACCAATTTGATTTGAAACTGTCTCATTGCTATTTGTTTCTCAATAAAATTATGAGAAAAAAAAAGATTGTGTTTATTTTGCAAAAACACTTGAAAAGGGCATCTACAAAAGGCATCCTTCCTCCTCTTTGAGATTAGATTTTCCCTTTTCCTTTCAGCTCAATTTTCTTTCTGGCTCTGCCCATCTTTCCAACAATCAGACCTAAAACTTCCCTGCCAGCCACCTTCTGTCACAGTTCTTTTCCTTCTGACTTCAAAAATTGGTCAGTGTTTTAAACCTTGAAATTAAAAAAGATAATCTTGGATATAACATGTTATCAATTATTCAACTTTATTTCATCTTCTCATTTCAAGAGTTTTTGAGAACCATACCAGGTCTTCAATACCTACAACCTACTGTTTTGCATTTTACTTTCTTGTACCAAATCTCCCTCCAAATAACGTGTCAGAACACAGCAACAGCAAGATGCATCCCTGGCCAGGAACAGAAGAGAAGTCTTGTGACTACTGTTCAATCTCTCCTGAGTTCTGTTTGCTTTCTAACCATCTTGCTAAGTATGATGCTTCTGGTAATAATTCCTCCTCTCAGTCATTTTACCTTTTGATAATTACATTTATTGGTACATCTTAGGTATACATAAATGATCGTATTCATTATAGGGAGTTCATACCTGTACATGATATATTTTGATTCCGGTTCCCCCCCCCATCCTCTCTCTCAACACTAACGGTTGATTTAAGTCACCCTTCACTTCTCGCTGACTTTCAGCACTTCACTTGATTTAACTTTTACTTAAGTAAGCAACTGGACTTGTTGTGATTATTTAATCTATTTTGGCTTCAGTGTTTTTAGTTAAAAATAATAATTCTGGACTTGAGGCTTTTTCCATTTTAAAGGTTCTAAGAGAGAGGTTACAATAAGGTACAGATTGTGAAATTTGTATAAAATTCCCTAGTCTTGCTGTGGAAGCACTTTTACATTATCAGGCTTTGTTTTAATGGGAAATACCCTGGCCGTAGAATATAATATCTGATTATAAATGTAATTGATTATACTTGTCATAGAATAAATATCTCTATGAGCTTGGAGAGGGGGTGGGAGACTGCACTCAACACAAATTTCAAAAGGAAGCAAAGCCACTCTGTCCGGAAGTAGAAAGAGGTCACTCTACTTGTACCTTCTTGTGGTTTCGACAACAAAGCCAGCAGTAGGGCTGCAGCCTCTGGAAGAGGTAGTAATCTGGGATTTTGGCTTCGTCTCTCTGGAGGAACAAAACATATGCAGACTCTATTAACATTTCAGTATTCATATAAATACATCCTACTCTAGTAGGACACAACAGCAGAACAACTTGTATGAAATAGATTTCTGATCACCACACAGATAACATACAGAACACTTTTTCTCCCCAACTTCCCTTGAAAATAACTTATAGCCAGTTACATTGTGTTTATGTGTGAGATATGGGAGAGAATGCTGGACTTATCCTGTACAAAACAGAATTCCACAAATGCAAGCACAATTGAAAGAGCAAACCCATGGGAAATCTCTCTTTTCCCAATTTAAGATGGTTTCTCTAGGCAGAAAGACTTGCATGCCATCCTGCTCGGAGCCTGTGCTGCCTTCTCTCCTGTCCAAGGAAATTGGAGATAATAACCTACATTCATGATCATATACAAGGTAATTATGTGACCGAAGAGGCACCTGCTAAATATTCAAAGTGACTTCAAGTCTAAGTTGGCAGAAGATGAATTGCCCTGATTCAGCACAGACCTTGAGTTTTAATTTGGAGGCAACTGATAGTGGAAAACGACTCTTACTGTCACAAAATAAAGAAGTACACTACAAGCTTCATGAAGCAAACCACAACTCTTCCTTGCCTATGCTATGTACAATGTGCTATATTTTTCCAAGTAAGTATGCTTTTTACTCTTAGCATTTCAATCTATAATTTATATAAATCAATTGAATTGTTACTTTTTAATTCAATGTCATGGAAAGCTTTATCTTGAAAAATAGTAGTTCCTGGCCCCATTCTCATGGCCTTCAGGTAACCACTTTTGATTTGAACCTTTGATAGTTCTTTCTAGTAATCGTTAGAGACATACACTTGCAGTCTTAGGAAAAATAATTTAATAATAATATCTTTTAAGCAAATTGTGTAAAAACTGCCCTAAATGAGCAGGTGCATTTCTAGAGATAGTTGAACACTTGTTTTCCAGTACTAGAGCTGAAACCCAAGATCTTCACACTGAGTTATAGCCCTAGCCCTCCTCCCCGTTGTAAGACTTTGAGATGGGTTTTGCTAAGTCATTAAATTGCGTGGGCCCCAACTTGCAAGTCCTCTTGCCTCAGCCTCTCAAGAATGCCAAGATTGCAGGCGTGACCACCAGCCCCTCAGAGCTGAGCGAACCCCTGGGTAACTGAGTGGCTGCGGGCTGGAGCGCGACTCCCCTGCGCATCCACAGCTGGACGCCACCCACCTGGAGGCAGCCGGTCAGAGAGGTCTTTCCTTCGACTCTGATCCGAGAGGAAGCGGCGCCCTTCTGCAAAGGCGAGGAAATGTGAGCTGAGGCGGGGCTCTGAGGCGGGGCTCGGCGCCGGGACGGCCCGGGCCACCAAGATCACCTTCCCGGCAGCCCCGAGTCCCCACGTGCACTGAGAGACTGCAACCGCTGCTTCGGGTGGAGGATAGCTCCTCACAGGGACACTTCAACCCTCGCCTCCCAGCGCCACCTATCACTAGATTGCCCTGGACCAGGTTGGCCTCAGTTACGCAGGGAACGCAGTCCGGGCTTATTGTCACCCACCCCTCGCCACCCATCTGTCCCGGGGCGCACACAGCCCTCAGGATCTCAGTTACTGGGGGAACAGCGAAGTGGGGGGAACTCACGTGCCCCCTTCAGGTACAGCATAGCTTGCGGGGTCCAGTTCCTTCTCTCCAAAGGTCTCTACAAACCGGGGAGGGAAGCAGCGCAGTTAATAAAGCTAGAAGGAAGGCGAGGGTGGAGGCGGGGGGTGGCGGGCGGGCAGACAGAGACAGAGACAGAGACAGAGACAGAGACAGAGACAGACAGACAGACAGACAGACAGACAGACAGACAGACAGACAACAAATAATGCAAGGATGGTGGCCCGAGGCGCTGAGCAGCTTGGTGTTTGCATCCCATTACCTGCGGAGCTCCGCGGGTGTCTCCGAGAACAGAGAAGAGGAGAAGAGCCAAGACCGTCGCCGCCAGACCGCTGGGTCCCTGTGTGAATCAAAGAACAAAGAAGGTCGTCTGAGTGCCCGCAGGATCTTCTGCTCCCTTCCTTGATGTCTGGACAAGTGCAAACCCCTCACTTCTGGCGCTGCTCTAATGTTCAGTGTGGGCAAATGCCTTCCCATTCCACCTTCTGGTGAACATAGTGTCCAACTTTAACTATTAGGTAGGAGTAGATTGCTACTATTAACCCACCAAATAATTAGACGAATAAATAGATGTTTGTTCTCAATAAAATGATTTTCTGATTTTTAAAGGAATGTTGATCAAATACATTTTGGCCCTTAAACTACTTACTATACATAAACCAGAAAGCTATACAGCTTTCCATAAAATAGCTGTGAGTCTCAAGTGAATAAATATTTACTTACTTTCATGTTCTGCTTCTTTCTGGAGCCCTGTGATGGCATTAACTTCGCCGGTGAGTTTTCTAATCTTGTTCTGAACTGAGGGCTTTTAAAGGCTTAGTGTCCTGGGCACCTTCCCATCTGCGTAGATGGGGGATCACACAGGGACAACGCATGCAGCTGTCAGGATGGAGATTCCCTCGAGGAGGTTCAACTGCAGGAAGTGTGGGACTGATTGATGGGTGGACATCACCTGGTTCAGTATTGATGACATCAGCGAGGAGACATTCTGAGTACATCAGCATCATCGCCTTTGCTTTTACTATGAGCTGCCCAGTGCATGTTCATGTCAGCATTCACACTAATAAAAATGATACAAAGTAAGTGAATCAATTAAGATAAGTAGCCATCAAGCCATCATTGATGAAAGAAGATAGACATTTCTGTACAGATGAAAGCTTAGGGAAGCTCAATGGAATTGGACATCAGCCATACATTTAATTATCCATCCATTCAATTATTTTATAAAAGGACTGGCAAGTTAGCTCAGCAGATCCCCCATACCGCATGCCGCATTGGTCCAAGCCCCAAGGTGCGCTGAGCCAGTGATAGAGTCTGGGTGCAGACTCTATTTATACTAAATAGAGTGCTGGGGAGGCTGAAAACAAGAAGATCCCTATGAGTCTGAGCTGTGTAGTGAGAGACTATAGCAAATACATAAATAAAATTTAAAAAAATACTTTATTTAATAAATACTTATTGAATGTCACATGTTGGACAATGCTCTTTTTGATTCAGTGGATACAGACATACTAAAAAGACACAGTTTCTGCTTTAATGAAACTGATCTTCTACTCGGGGAAGAAACACTTGAGAGAGGAAGGACAGTAGATAGGGATGAAAAAAAGTTCAGATGTGTTATGTACGTGTAACAACTCTCAGTGAGGAATTTATTCATTGTGCACTGCACACATGTACCACCAAAAATAAGTTATTTAAAAAACAGTTGAAAGTAGTAGACAGACGAAGAGAGTAAAATACCGAATGTTTTAAACTATTAAGCAAAAGTAAACAAGGTGATGCGATAGGGTAAGTGGTGGGCTACTATAGTGCAGATAAAAGTCAAGGGGAATTGCAAAGAGTAAGACAGAATCAGACATAGGATAATGGGGTATGGATCAGTGTTCTGGGCTTTCTAGGCAGGAAAACAGAAAAGCAAGCTGGGAAAGAGAAGAGATTGGCTTGTTTAAAGAGTAGGAAAGATAGCGCTTTGAAATGGAGTTGTGGAGGGAGAAATGGGCCAGTGCCTAGGGGATGTGGTCAGCATTAGATGATGATGGCTTGGAGTAGGGTGGAAGTAGAAGGGAATGGAGAGTTATAAATGAATTTTGGGTACATGTTGGAGGTCGATGATACAGGGTTTGTGGGTGAATAGGATACGAGAATCTGAAAAAAAAAATAGATCAAAGATACTGCTTGGATATCTTGGCTTCAGCATAGAGACTTCTTAAGAAACCAATGAAGGCAGAGAGATGAAGAGCTCCCTTATGTGCATTCTAGCACTGAAATGATCATTAAATATGCAAGTATGAAATAGACAACTGGAAAGCTCTTGAGAGCTTAGCAAAGAGATCATCATGTGTACATTGCTTTTTAAAAGTAAGAATGATTAAGAATTTTAAGAATTCTAAGAATGTTAAAGAAGCAAAAACACTGGAACTGAATAGGGCTAAAGAAAAGAAGCAGGGATTGAACAGTGAAAACAAACATAGAGAAAATGAGCAAATGAAGCAGTCAGGAAAGGAAGCTCAGGGGCTAGGGACAGTGGCACATCACCTGTGTGGCAAACGCAAGGCCCTGAGTTTGATCCCCAGTACCAATGGGAAAGTTCAAGTAAATAAGAGAAATTCTAGGGGATCCTGTTGCCATGGAAGCTGTGGTGGAGCACTAATCAAAAAGCATATGCAAGGAGCTACTCATCAAAATAGTACTTTGGATATAGATGCTCTTCAGAGAAAGGAATTGTTAATGTCACAACAGCCACTTCTGATGCCCAGATTAAAGACTGGGATAAATTTGCTGATGCTATAAAGAGCATTAAAGTGTGTCACAAAGGATTCTCAACCTGACAACAACTAGATGCTATGTAGCCATGACTGCTCCACCTTCTTCAAAGCAAAGAAAAGAAAACTGTGGCGGGCCACCTGAGCAGCTCTCCTTGAAACAAGAGTGATCGTTTCCATTTTGGCTATGCCTGACCCTATTTCCTTGTATTGATATGTATAGAGCTGGCTAGGACTTCTCTTTATCCCTTCAATTGGCTTTAAGCAGTGCTTATTGGTCTAGCTGAGGTGCTGGTGGTAGTCTTTGAAGATGACACATTTGTTTCTACAGGTACTCCCACCTGCTGCTCTTTATGATTGGATGAAAAGTCAATGCTCCATGCTGTCAGCTGGGATTGAGCCTTGAGATAGAGGCTATGACTTCCTAGGGTTTGAAAGATTACACATCAGAGCTGAAGCACTGGACTCCAAAACATTAGATACTCTCTCAATAGTATAATGCAAATTACTCTTTCACTGTATCTTTCTCTCTGCATATGGCAGAGGTAAATACAGGCCTCCTACCTAGCCCAGCTCAAGGTATTCACCTTCTTCCTGCCACTCTGTCACTCATCCTCAAGCCATTTCTTATTCATGACTGAATAAAACCTGGGTTCGGCCCTGGATTGAGGCCTTTGTTCTGGATAGCCATTACCATGGCTGGATTCAGGACCCTTTGGCGTCCCATAACTATAAATATGCTTCAGTGTCTTTTTTCTCACTGTGAGTAACACTGGAAGTGGTAGATTGGAATTAACTTGATGGGATTCCAATAACTTATCCTTAGGATTACAAATATGAACTTCTTGGATCAGGATGAGGACCAGAAAGGACTCTGTACATTAAGCCAAGAAAAGTGATCCGATAGCACTGAGAGCTCGAGCGAGATGAGGTCCAGAAGCATGAAATGGATTTGAAAATACAATAGTGTAAATAGGATATCATGTCCGCATCTTGTACAGCAACTAACCACTAGGAAGAATGTATGCAATGTGTTAATTATTGAAACTGTCCTACCAATTTGATTTGAAAAAAAAATCTGCATGGAAATGGAAGTAAAATCCTTAGACATAAAGGAGTGATAATCTGATTCTTTAATTCAAACTATGCTCAATTAAAAAAAAAAATCTCTAAATTCTAAAAAAAAAATACAATAGTTTTTTGTTTTACAAGATGAATGTAAGTTAGTAATGAATAAGATATGGGAAAATAAAGCTGAAGGCTTTCGAAATGTCACAAAAGGAGGGAAGGCGTAAAATGAAGACTTATTCTTCCCCAGCATCTGGGATGGAACTGAGGACCTCAGATCTGCTAGGCAAGGGTTCTACCACAGAGCAATGTCCCCAGCCCTCTTGTTTTATGTTTCCTGAATTCAACAGGCTGGTCTTAGACTGCTTCAGCTTTCTTTCTCTACTATCCAGTTCAGTAAAGTACTTGAACTCAGTGGATATTTGTTGTTCTTTTTGCCTTCTAGTAACATTTGAACTTCGTTATTAAGAAATATCTGAAATTCCCTAAACTATGAATGATAAATGTTGTAGAAGGGCAGTCTTCCTGGCCTTTCTGCCCTCCATGCAGGCAGAGTGTGAGCCCAGGGCACAGACCTTCCCACGCAGGGGTATGTGCTCTGAAGGAGTTTCAAGCTGAGAGAAAAAAAGCATCCTATGCATCAGTGGTGGTAGCAGGAGTTAGTCTCTAGAGCACTACTAGTTACAGTGCAAGCAAAAGATTCTAGCACTAAGTGCTACATGGGTGGTGATTGTGTCCCCAGGGCCCTCTTAATGAAGTTTTACTTTGGGTCAGTCAGGTTTGTTGGCTCTTATCAATAACGACTGAGAAATCCTTTGAAGTTATGAATGCCAACGGGGATGGTCAGTGGAGAAGGAGAACTTAATGATGCAGAAGAAAGAGAAGATAACAGAAAAAGCAAGACTTTTAGGCTGGAGGGCTAGGATCTAAAGGATATCAGTATTTAGTTGAAAAGGCTGTATGCACAGGCAGACACTGAACAAGGATGTGTATTCACCTTATGAAAGAGGAGACATGAGAAAGAAGTGAGAGGACCCTCATCTCAGTCCATTCTGAATGCTGTGACAAAATACAATAAACAGGTGAAATAGCTTGGGTCTTCAACAACTCCTCAAGGTTTACTTTACAGAGTGCAGCTCTTGGGAGGTGATTCTTTAGGAGCTGAGACCAGTGGGACATCTTCAGGACGTTGAGTTCATGCTTTTGAGGTGCAGTGGGACCCTAGTTTCTTCCTCTTCATCTCTTTTGCTTCGCTGGCATGAGCTACTGTCATGTTGTGCTGCCAAATGCTTAAAAGCAGTTTGTTCTTACAGTAACAGAAAGTTAACACAACTGAGTAGCATTTGAAGAGCAGAGATTCATTGCACAGTTCTGAGGGCCTGGGAAGTCTTAGGGATTAGCATGGCTAGGCTTTCAGGAGGGCCCTCTTCTGATAACCTTCTGCTGTGTTCTCATGTGGTGAACTAGCTCCCAGGGGCTCTTTTGTAAGGTCATAAATCCTACTCATGAGGGCATTGTGCTCCTGATTTAATCACCTCCTCTAAGTTCCTCCTCTAAAAGTTATGGCACTGGGGACTGGCATTTCAACATATGGAATTTCAGGGGATATGGATATTTAGATTACATCAGTCCTTCTAAGTTAGGGCCCTGCTTCCCAGGCATTCATGTGCATAAGAATAAATTAGGGATCTTTTTGAATTGTAGTTTGGATTCAACACAACCGGGATGGGGGTGTGCAAGTCCACATTTCTAACAAGCTGCCAGATGCCACTGGTGGATGCCATTGATCCCTGGACATGTTCAGCAGCAAAGTTTAGAATATAGGAAATGAATAAACCTAAACCTGAGAGTTTGCATGGTTGGGAAGATTGCAAGAAGGAGAAATATTAGCAGGTTTGGAGCAGAATAGTTCAGGTTTGTTTGGGATTTATGGTTGAAGGGCTGATGTTATTATGTACATGGAAATGTTTGGAAGAAATGGATTGGTATTTTTAGTGCTTCATAGTTAGACTTAGAAAACCAGATGTTTAGTTGGTGAATAAGAAGGGGATTTAATGGTCTGGGGAGATAGCTCAGTGGCAGAAGTGCCTGCCTTGCAAGCCCAGGATCCTGAGTTCAATACCCAGTGAAAAAAATAAATAAATAAATAAATAAATAAACAAAATAACAACAAAAACTTTAAAGAAGGGAATTTAAAAAAAAAATCCTAAGGATAAGTTAACCATTGAAAATGAGTAAAATTGCAGCTCTACTATAAATATTAAATTTTAAAATTTTAATTTCAAAGAATTGCAAAAACTACTTAAAAATTTATCTCCAAAAAAGGAACAAATTATATCAAATATGCTGTGTTTGCTTTAAATGAAGTCATATGTGAAACTCAAATTAGAAAGTTGCCTAACAAATGAAATGACTTTTCTCCTCTCTACACTAAGAGC